CCCTGGTGACCCCGTGGTGTCCCTGGTGACCCTCTGGTCACTCTGGTCCCCCTGGTGACCCCGTGGTGTCCCTGGTGACCCTCTGGTCACTCTGGTCCCCCTGGTGACCCCGTGGTGCCCCTGGTGACCCTCTGGTCACTCTGGTGACCCCGGTGACCCTGTGGTGTCCCTCAGGTTCTGCTGGCGGCACCTGATGCGGGAGCTGAGCTCTGGGTTCCGGGTGGTGGCCCTGGTCACTCTGGTCCCCCTGGTGACCCCATGGTGCCCCTGGTGACCCCCTGGTCCCCCTGGTGTCCCCCTGGTGACCCCATGGTGTCCCTCAGGTTCTGCTGGCGTCACCTGATGCGGGAGCTGAGCTCTGGGTTCCGGGTGGTGGCCCTGGTCACTCTGGTGTCCCCTTGGTGACCCTGTGGTGTCCCTGGTGACCCTCTGGTGACCCCGGTGACCCCGTGGTGTCCCTCAGGTTCTGCTGGCGTCACCTGATGCGGGAGCTGAGCGGAAGGTTCCGGGTGGTGGCCCTGGACCTGCGCGGCTGCGGCGCCTCGGACAAACCGCCGGGCAGGGACAGTTANCGGATTCCCCCAGAACTGGTGGGTGGCACCCCGGGGGGGGCACTGGGGGCACCCTGGGGTCACCACGGTCACCATGGGGTCACCCAGGGGTCACTCAGGTCACCCAGGGGTCACTCTGTTCACCCCGGGGTCACCACGGCCCCCCTGGTGCTGCTGCACGACGTCCCCCAGAACTGGTGGGTGACACCCCGGGGGGGGCACTGGGGGCACCCTGGGGTCACTGAGGGCACCCCGGGGTCACTGAGGGCACCCAGGGGTCACTCAGGTCACTCTGGGGTCACCACGGCCCCCCTGGTGCTGCTGCACGGATTCCCCCAGAACTGGTGGGTGCCACCCCGGGGGGGGCACTGGGGGCACCCTGGGGTCACCACGGTCACCCAGGGGTCACTGAGGGCACCCCGGGGTCACTGATGTCACCCAGGGGTCACTCTGGTCACTCCGGGGTCACCACGGCCCCCCTGGTGCTGCTGCTGCACAGATTCCCCCGGAACTGGTGGGTGCCACCCCGGGGGGGGCACTGGGGGCACCCTGGGGTCATCACGGTCACCCCGGGGTCACTGAGGGCACCCAGGGGTCACTGATGTCACCCAGGGGTCACTCAGGTCACTCTGGGGTCACCACGGCCCCCCTGGTGCTGCTGCACGGATTCCCCCAGAACTGGTGGGTGACACCCCCGGGGGGGCACTGGGGGCACCCTGGGGTCATCACGGTCACCCAGGGGTCACCCAGGGGTCACTGATGTCACAAGGGGTCACTCTGTTCACCCCGGGGTCACCACGGCCCCCCTGGTGCTGCTGCACGACGTCCCCCAGAACTGGTGGGTGGCACCCCGGGGGGGGCACTGGGGGCACCCTGGGGTCACCACGGTCACCCCGGGGTCACTGAGGGCACCCCGGGGTCACTGAGGTCACCCAGGGGTCACTCTGGTCACCCTGGGGTCACCACGGCCCCCCTGGTGCTGCTGCTGCACGGATTCCCCCAGAACTGGTGGGTGACACCCCGGGGGGGGCACTGGGGGCACCCTGGGGTCACCACAGTCACCATGGGGTCACCCAGGGGTCACTGATGTCACCCAGGGGACACTCAGGTCACCCAGGGGTCACTCAGGTCACTCTGAGGTCACCACGGCCCCCCCGAGGCCGCTGCACGGATTCCCCCAGAACTGGTGGGTGCCACCCCGGGGGGGTCACTGGGGGCACCCTGGGGTCACCACGGTCACCCCGGGGTCACTCAGGGGTCACTGATGTCACCCAGGGGTCACTCTGGGGTCACCACGGCCCCCCTGGTGCTGCTGCTGCACAGATTCCCCCAGAACTGGTGGGTGGCACCCCGGGGGGGGCACTGGGGGCACCCTGGGGTCACCCTGGGGTCACTGAGGGCACCCCGGGGTCACTCAGGTCACCCAGGGGTCACTCAGGTCACCCAGGGGTCACTCTGGTCACCCCGGGGTCACCACGGCCCCCCTGGTGCTGCTGCTGCACGGATTCCCCCAGAACTGGTGGGTGCCACCCCGGGGGGGGCACTGGGGGCACCCTGGGGTCACCACGGTCACCCCGGGGTCACTGAGGGCACACCAGGGTCACTGATGTCACCCAGGGGTCACTCTGTTCACCCCGGGGTCACCACGGTCCCCCTGGTGCTGCTGCACGACGTCCCCCAGAACCGGTGGGTGCCACCCCAGGGGGGTCACTGGGGGCACCACAGTCACCATGAGGTCACCATGGTCACCCAGGGGTCACCTAGGGCTCACTGAGGTCACCCTGGGGTCACCACAGTCACCATGGGGTCACTGAGGTCACCCAGGGGTCACCACAGTCACCCAGGGCTCACTGAGGGTCACCCTGGGGGCACTGAGGTCACCCTGGTCAGTCTGGTCACCCTGGCGTCACCATGGTCACCCTGGTCACTCAGGGGTCACCCTGGTCACTCTGGTCACCCCGGTGACCCCGTAGTGTCCCTGGTGACCCCCTGGTCACCCTGATGTCCCCCCGGTGACCCCGTGGTGTCCCTCAGGTTCTGCTGGCGTCACCTGATGCAGGAGCTGAGCGGAAGGTTCCGGGTGGTGGCCCTGGTCACTCTGGTCACCCTGGTGTCACCATGGTCACTCAGGGGTCCCCCTGGTGTCCCCGGTGACCCCGTGGTGTCCCTCAGGTTCTGCTGGCGGCACCTGATGCAGGAGCTGAGCTCTGCGTTCCGGGTGGTGGCCCTGGTCACTCAGGGGTCACTCTGGTCCCCCTGGTGTCACCATGGTCTCCCCAGTGACCCGTGGTGCCCCCGGTGACCCCGTGGTGTCCCTCAGGCTCTGCTGGCGTCACCTGATGCGGGAGCTGAGCGGAAGGTTCCGGGTGGTGGCCCTGGTCACTCAGGGGTCACTCTGGTCCCCCTGGTGACTCCCTGGTCCCCCCGGTGACCCGTGGTGCCCCCGGTGACCCCGTGGTGTCCCTCAGGTTCTGCTGGCGTCACCTGATGCGGGAGTTGAGCGGAAGGTTCCGGGTGATGGCCCTGGTCA